CTAATTTGCCCCACTTTGGCCCACATAAGCGCTCATGTTTTATTTATTTGTTGCATTATTAATTTTTGTCATAAAGGGGAGCACCAGAACAAAGTTTATGAAGCAGCTTGTTGAGGAATAATGATCTGTGTGGTCGACGCACTCACACAGGTATCAGCTGATTTCTAAACATAAATCACATTTTTTATCGCCTGGCTTTTATGCAACATGGTTCATGATCTAAATTGGTTGTTTTAATATTTTTCTAATTTTGCTAATGCCTTTTTATTTTGTGTGAATGCCTTTTAATTGTATTTTAATCTGTTTTATTGCCTCTTTTATTGATCGACATGTCATTCTGCATTTGTGGTGTTCAGCGCCATGGGCTTCCGTAAAGGCAGTGAACGGTGCTATAAAAATAAAGTTTGATTGATTAAAGAATACCCACCAAACATCCACTTTGATTTCAAGAGGTCAACAAAAACAATCATGAATCATTATTTGGGTTATTTCTGCCCACCGTGAAGAATATGTTCCTGTTTGTTAGCAAGATTATCTAAAAATGACAAAAAGCTAAGCTATCTCATGGTAGCATTACAGGTTTTCTAAAGCAGAAAGGTCCTAGCCTGGCCAGCCATGCCCATGCTCCCTTAGGGGAAGCAAAGGGCCCAGCAATGCTCCCATTTAAATAACCTCACCCCTTGAGAATCCTAACCGAGCCAATCAGCGCTGAGCAAACTACAAAGATGGCGTCTGAAGCGGAGATCCCTGCAGTTCTTTCCTCTGTTCTAAATGACTTGGACACATGTTTAAAACCACAAGAAGAAGCGCTAAAAGCCTTTCTTCTAAAGTAAGATGTTTGCGCCGTCGCCAGATGCCATCTTTGACTACAGCTAAAAAACTGCAGCGTCGCGCGATAAGGCCCTCATTTCCGCCCTTTTTCTGATTGGTTATTTTTTAACTAGCTTGTCTCGCCCCTCATGGTGCTCTCTGCCTCTGAGTATCCAGACTCGTCCTCTGTGTACAGCAGACA